CATATGTGAAAATTTAAAGAATTTGGATTTAATTTGAATTTGGAAAAAATTCTTCTAATCCCAAATTAAATAAACTCAATTACAATTGCATATTTCTGTTGTCATTTACTGATACGTTATCGTATCGGGATAGGGAAGGATTTCGAGCACCTTCGAGCTCCAAGAACAAAAGAGGCGAGAAAGAGAGGGGAAGACGGCCGTTGATCGGCAAGGAGGAGAGGGGGAGTTTAGGGTTAGGGAAATATTTCTTTATTGATTGAATAATAAAATTATGAGTAATGGCTACATATATAGATGGTAGATCTAGAGAATCATAACCATACTAGGTAACTAAATAAACCATAATACTAATAATCTAATATAATTATACTTCCAAATAATAATATAATTATCTAACCATAAATAATAAAACTACCTATAATAATAATAGCAATATAATAATAATGGTAAATAACTAAATATAAACCCGTATCACTCTTCCCGCCTCGAAAACCAACTTGTCCTCAAGTTGGAAATCAAATAAAGAACGGGAAAAAATTACACCGTTCATCGTCCATCCTCCGGGGTCAAGCACCTTCGTTATTGGAGCATCAAAAGAACATGTTGGACCTACAACATCTCCAACACGAGTTAAATAATTGCATGCGACCAACTCGATGAAAAGAATGCAACCGGGTGCAATAGTTCCTGATTTACAAATAACAATAACCTCAGCATCAAGCATTCCAAAGCTTTCTGTGCATCCATAAACAATCAGATTGTTCCCAAAAACTTCCTCGCGGTCTTGGTGGTGTGCATCCTCATCAACATCGTTTATAGGAACATGATCAGTAACAATAACAAAAGCATCATCGGAAATACCTACCGGATGAACAACAATTTCCTCCATCGTGAGTGACTTATTGGTACCCAAGACATTGGAACCACTTTTCATGTCATCTTCGACATGTGGTTCATTGCTTAAATTTTCCACAAGAGGACCAGTGTGTGCGAATGTGTCTTCCACGATCTGAACAATCAGGTCCCCAGCCTTAGGGGCTAGATTTGGTGAAGAAAGTGGAGCACCGATGAGTTTCTTTATCACGCCCATCATATTTGTTTTGAACAAGTGTAACTCTATCAGGATCAAACTTGGCACAATTGGGGGACCACGAACTAAATCCTGGATTGAGCAAGAGACATCTACGGCGAATGCATATACCTCGAAATCATATTTTGGTTGACCTTCAATTTGACGGAATGCCTGAAGTTTCTTTATAATTTCATCCACGGAATCTTCAACTGCACACACGCCTTCATAAAATTTAATTTGTCCCTGTAGAACTTTCTCGAGTAAACTAAGAACTTTGCCCAACAGAGAATCCATTGCCAAAAGAAACTCCACCACACAAAAATTGAATTGAACTTTGTGGACGAATTTTTTTTTTGTATAATTTTTTTTGAATGAGTTCAAGAATGAAAGCACCAATTGATTCGTTATCGTATCGGGATAGGGAAGGATTTCGAGCACCTTCGAGCTCCAAAAACAAAAAGGCGAGAAAGAGAGGGGAAGACGGTCGTTGATCGGCAAGGAGGAGAGGGGGAGTTTAGGGTTAGGGAAATATTTCTTTATTGATTGAATAATAAAATTATGAGTAATGGCTACATATATAGATGGTAGATCTAGAGAATCATAACCATACTAGGTAACTAAATAAACCATAATACTAATAATCTAATATAATTATACTTCCAAATAATAATATAATTATCTAACCATAAATAATAAAACTACCTATAATAATAATA